ACATGCTCAGCTGTGCGGAGCAAAACTGATTGACATATTTACCTGTCTTTTGGCAGGGTGCAGTTTGATTCTGTACTCCTCTCTCTTCCTTTTCATCCTGTGAAAACCAGTTTAGAAACTGAGTGACAGTTTACTCTATATGACAGACATTAAAGGCCGCTTAATCATTTTATTAAGGAGCAGGAAAGCAAACACTGCAGTATAGAGAGAACCTCGCGTCACTGCAAAATAACAAACTGCACACTCAGTATAAAACGTAGTGAGGCTGGCAGCGAGTGTGTTGGACATATGGTGAAGACGAGGAGGGGATGGGATTTCACAGCCAATTATCTGAGAGACCTCTTAACAGACAAACCAGATGCTTATAACTTCATACCTAATGAAAGCTATGGGAAATGCATTGTCCTTCAACCGTCAATCCAAATTCAGTCACAAGAAGCACAGAACACAAGTCTGCGCTGTTATACTAGCAATTAATCTGTCCGTACTTCCTGTTTTTAGTTATGTTAGCCCTCACGATTTCCACATAAAAATTGGGAAGAAAATCATGCTTTTTGCTGTTTATCACCTGCTCGAGCACATCCTATAACAACAAGACATCCTTACTCAAGTACTCAAGATGATTTGAACCTCAAGTGTAAAAACTACGGTGGCCCAGTAGTGCACAACACAACGAAATCTCTACAACACTACAAAATTGCCAAAACACAGCAAAATCACCACAACACAACACAACACATAGGACTAATTTTGTTGTGTTGTGCTAATTTAATTGGGTTGCGGCTGGTTTCCGTTGCGTTGTGCTAATTTCGTTGTGTTGTGCTTATTTCTTTGAGTTGTGGCTTGTTTCCATTGTGTTGTGCTAATTTCGCTGTTGTGGCTTGTTTCCGTTGTGTTGTGCCAATTTCGTTGTGTTGCGGCTTGTTTTTGTTGAGTTGTGCCAATTTCGTTGTGTTGCGGCTTGTTTCTGTTGTGTTGTGCCAATTTCGTTATGTTGTGACTTGTTTTTGTTGAGTTGTGCCAATTTCGTTGTGTTGCGGCTTGTTTCTGTTGTGTTGTGCCAATTTTGTTGTGTTGCGAGTTGTTTCTGTTGTGTTGTGCCAATTTCGTTATGTTGTGACTTGTTTTTGTTGAGTTGTGCCAATTTCGTTGTGTTGCGGCTTGTTTCTGTTGTGTTGTGCCAATTTCGTTATGTTGTGACTTGTTTTTGTTGAGTTGTGCCAATTTCGTTATGTTGCGACTTGTTTTTGTTGTATTGTGCCAATTTCGTTGTGTTGAGGTTTGTTTCTGTTGTGTTGTGCCAATTTCGTTGTGTTGCGAGTTGTTTTTATTGTGTTGTGCCAATTTCGTTGTGTTGCGGCTTGTTTTTGTTGTGTTGTGCCAATTTCGTTGTGTTGTGTTGTGCTAATTTCGCTGTTGTGCTTATTTCGCTGTTGTGGCTTTTTTTCACTGTGTTGTGTACTACTGAGCCACTGTAAAAAAAAACTGCTGGGCATTTATGAATAATACAGTAATATGACACACCTGTTTAGCCACGTCAGGAATAAAATCATCAGAAGAGCGACACCAACCAGCCCTCCTCCAATATATACATACAGCATGTGATGAAGACTCCTAAAATCTGAAATAATTAAGGGATAAACAGGCATTAAACTTCAGCTAAATGAAATATTTAATACTCCAAAATTAATGAAACATTTATGGCGTAAAAATTGTTGTATTTGCAAAGTCTTCGCAAAGGGGGTAAACATGCTTATTACATGATATTACATGGCATTAACATTTTTCACGACTTTCAATTTTATATTTTGTGTTGAAAAAAAAATGGTAAAAGAAAATTTTAGTATGGCAGTGGTTCTCAACCAAGGGCCCGGGGTCCACTAGGGGGCATCAATGACTTGTTCTTGTTGTTTTTTATAAAATGCAAATCAAGCTAAAACAAATCAAAATGAAAATATTTCTTATTTTAATTCACCCCCCCAAATTATTTGGGGAAATGTGGACAAAAGAACATGTGAATCAGAGATGTCCAAACCAGGATCTGTGGGCCAAAGTTGGTCCGTGATGACCTTTGGTTTGGCCCACCAAACCAAAAATAGCAACAAAAATTATGCCATGCATAATGACTTTTTGGTCCTTTGTAGAGAACAGTTTGGGCGCCTCTGCTGTAAATAAACAGATAGTTCAGCCCTTGTCCTACCTTGAGCAGGTAGAGTGGACAGCAGGATTGTGGTGGACCGGACACCGGCATCTGTGCTGAAGTTGCAGCGGTAGAGTCCTCCATCTTCTTTGACAATGTTGGTGAGGTGCAGACTGACCTCCATAGCATCACTACAGTTCAGTCGTCCTCTACTGTTGAACTCACTCAGCTCCACGCCATCTTCTAGCATCTGACATGTTGCTATAATATTACTACCGCCCACCTCGGTGTCCAGTTTCTCAATGCTTACTTGGTAAACCTCACCGTTGTGGACAAGGTCACACTTAATGGTCAGGTTGTCGTTCTCTGCGGCCACCAAATTAGTGTCCGGTTGAATAGAGAAGGTGGGGGTGATTGCTAGACAAAAAAAGGAGTATAAGTCTTTATGATCTAGAATAAGAGTATGAACCTAGTTAGCAATTTTTACTGTATACTTTGAAATCACAATTCAGGGTTAAACCTATTGGGTCACCATGTCTTTATCTGTAATGTTGGAAAATGTAACATGGTGAAATATAATTCACCTGCTTTTTCGACAAATGTGTCTTTGGTCCATGAACCCTGAGGATAAGTCTGCAGAGAGCAATGATACTGGCCGATGTCGCCCTCAGTGACATTCATTATGGAAATGCTGCCAGACAAGGTCACACTTAATGGTCAGGTTGTCGTTCTCTGCGGCCACCAAATTAGTGTCCGGTTGAATAGAGAAGGTGGGGGTGATTGCTAGACAAAAAAAGGAGTATAAGTCTTTATGATCTAGAATAAGAGTATGAACCTAGTTAGCAATTTTTACTGTATACTTTGAAATCACAATTCAGGGTTAAACCTATTGGGTCACCATGTCTTTATCTGTAATGTTGGAAAATGTAACATGGTGAAATATAATTCACCTGCTTTTTCGACAAATGTGTCTTTGGTCCATGAACCCTGAGGATAAGTCTGCAGAGAGCAATGATACTGGCCGATGTCGCCCTCAGTGACATTCATTATGGAAATGCTGCCATCCATCGCGGTGGATTTCAGAAACGTCACTCTGCCGTCATATGATGACTCATAGTTGGAGCCATACTGAGGATGATAAACAGCTACAGGTTGTGAAAGAGACTTTTTAGTCCAAGAGACCATAATGAGCTGGCCAGTCCACGGACACAGGCAGTCCAATACCATTCCTTCCTGCAGTGTGACTTTTGATCCTGGGGCTTTCATCTGAACAGAGCCTAGAAGACCATTACGGAAGTGTGGGAAATCAGACACAGATGAAAACGGACACAAAAGAAAACAAAATCATCTAAAGATACATCATTTCAAGTCAACAGACACTGGCAGAGAACGTCAGGGTTCACGCACACCTTCTGACCAACATTTCTTTTTTTTCTGGGCATTTGCAATTGCTGGATTTTAAAATGTATTTAATATTTTTAACTCACAAAAAAAATTAATGAAATATTTTAGAAATACACTACTGTTCAAAAATGTGGGGTCTGTAAGATTAAAAAAAAGGTTTCGAAAGAAGTCTCAAACAAGGCTGCATTTATTTGAACAAAAATACAGTTAAACGGTAATATTGTGAAATATTACAATAAAAAAAAAATTCATCAGTCAAGCTGAATTGTTTAGCATCCGTTACTCCAGTCTTCAGTGGCACATTGTTCGGATATGATGATTTCAAGCTGTTCAAGAAACATTTCTTTTAATCAATCTTTAAAAGTTGTTCTACCTAATTTTTTTTTTTTTTGTGGAAACCATGATAACTTTTTGCAGGATTCTTTGATAAAAGTTCAAAATATTTAATAGAAATAGTTTGTAATAGCTAAAATAGATATACATTCTGATTTGTATCAATTAAAAATTACTATTCCATGACAAACAATTTTAAAAATTCAATATATTTCCAGGATTTATTTATTTTACCCAAGTAAAAGAAAAGGCGTATGTGCCGAAATACAATTGCTGGTGTGGTTTTTCTGTAACCATGTACATTGTTTATTGAAATTGCAGCAGAAGAACCTTATAAAGCTAAACATTAATGGTTATTAAACTGTATTTTGCACCCTTATAGAACTAAACTAACAAAAATGATGCAACCAACAACCACAAGTACAAACCAAAGTTACTTTCAATGTAACCACATATTCTCATTCCTTTTTGAAAGGATTATAACAAATCAAAAATCAGTTATTTCAGACTATTTCTTCTTTAAAATGTATGGGATCAAACTGATTTATATTCACCCTATCAGCACTGAGAGTCAATTAAATTCATATGTAAACAGGAACACTGTTTATCATGCTAAAGAACTGCCATTCATGCTTACGTCCTTTGAAATATACATAAATTAAGAACAAATAGGCTATAGTTTAAATGTTTAAAAAAAAAAAAAAAAGCAACAGTTGCTACCTTTGCTAAAAAAAATTACCTTTTAGAAAACAGAGCTGCATCATGAGTACCAAGAAGTACCAGTAATCCTTTTGTACCGCCACCATCTTGCTCCGCTGAGACAGAATGAATACAGCATTGACGAGGACTGAGGCGACCTCAGCACTTTCTGTGTTCAGCTGCAAGACTCTGCAATCACATCCTCAACCAGCAGATAAACACTGTTAGAGAGGAGGTGTTAAGTTCACCAAACGAGAATTCTACCCCACATTGTTTTGTTTTTTTTGTTCACCTGAAACTGAAAGAGCGGACTTGAAACCAATCTCTGAATTCCCCTATGATAAAATAAAAAGAATACAAAGGAAAGGAAAAATCATGACCTTATGTAATTCATCCAGAAAGTGCCAGTACACCCAAAAATAATTTTTTTTTACAGTGCATTTGATAATTTTTTACAGTTGAAGAATGGAGAGGCGTCTACTGTAAAACCAGCTCATTTATTGATTTGCTACAAAACAAAACAAATATACAAAAACTCAGAATGAAATATTCCATATTGTACCAAAACATAAATAAACATTGACATTATTAGGTGACTTTCATGATCTCAGAGAGGCACTTAGGAGCTGAAGATGTGTGTGAGATTTCTCAGGCACTTCAGAAGATAGACATTCAGGGGTTTGTCACTTGTCTGCTCTTCATCTGTATGAACAAACAAACAGACAGACAATTACCTCAAATTCTCAGGAAAGATCCATTCCTGATGCATCTACTGCTGTAGTATCATCAGAGAGTAAAAATGAGAGGCTCTACAGTGATCAAACTGAATATATTCCCACCTTTCCTGGCAGACATGTATGCCTCTTCAACTTTCAGTCTGATGGAAGGACACTTCAAAGTGGCCTTTGCCTTTGTAAGAGGAGATATGCAGGATGAGAAGATAAAGGGTGAGACTAATCGCGCATGTGCGAGATGCCAGACTCGCATGTAATTTGTGTTTATAAAATGATCATGAATCCTACGTCGATGCCAAAGAACTATTGATTGACACTAGTAGTACTATTCAATATTTTTTCCCAATATTTCATTATTCAAGTTGTCATAATGTCATTATATAATAACAAGATGCCATTGAATAAAAGACGTTACCTTCTGATTGTTGTGCAACAGAGCCCAAAGCGCAGAAGCTCCTATGGTACGTATTTCTGATGAGCTACTGCCCAAACAAGATATTAGCAGCTCAACAGCTTTATCTGAAATATATAATATTTAGATAAAATGTAATATTTATGCGTCTATGTATTTATATGTAACACTTAGAAAAACTATCTCTCACCTCTCTCTCACACACACAAAAATGACATGTACATTTTTTGTTGTTGTTGACGGGGTTTTTTGGGGGGGGTGTATATCAGCCATGCCAATTAATCAAACGAAATTTGGCTATTTTGTTAAAGGGATAGTTCACCAAAAAAAAAAAAAAATTGTCATTAATTACTCACCCTCATGTCGTTCCAAACATGTAAGACCTTCGTTCATCTTCAGAACACAAATTAAGATATTTTTGATGAAATCGAGAGCTTTCTGACTCTGCATAGACTGCAACGCAACTGAAAAGTTCAAGGCCCAGAAAGGTAGTAAGGACATCATTAAAATAGTCATCAGTGGTTCAACCGTTATGTAATGAAGCTACGGGAATACTTTTTGTGCACAAAGAAAGAAAAAAACACTTTATTCAACAATTTCTTCTCTTCCATGTCAGTCTCCGCCATGCTTTCACAACAGTACCATGACGCATATGTTCTGTGCGCACAAAAAGAATTCTCATAGCTACTTAAAATTACGGTTGAACCACTGATGTCACATGGACTATTTTAACAATGTCCTTACTACCTTTCTGGGCAAAAATATCTTAATTTGTGTTCTGAAGATGAACAAAGGTTTTATAGGTTTGAAACGACATGAGCGTGAGTAATTAATGGCAAATTTCATTTTCTGGGTGAACTATCCCTTTAACCATGCCCACTGAGCCTTATTAGATATTGGCATCATCCACTCAAAGGGGAACATGTTGGTCAACCATTAACATGTAAAACCCTGTAAATCCAGCGCTCATACCATTGGCTAAAACTTTGGGCTTGTTAGCGGAGCAGAAGCAGATGTTGTGGAGAATGAGCAGGATGGTGGGTTTAGAGCTGGAGTGTTTGGACTGGGCCAGTCCGACCAGCAGCTCCAAAGCCCCTCGGAGCCTGAGGATCATCTGCTGTCCGTCCTCCCCAAACGACATGTTCAGCAGCAGCTTGAGCCAGAGGAACATAGGCTCCGCCGCCGGACTGCCGCTTCGACCACCTGCCTTAGGCATAGGGAGAGACAGGAAGTGCTGCAGGAAGTTACTCTAGGGAAAACAGCAAGAAAGAAGGTTTTGTTAACACTTCTCTATGAAACAAAAAAGCGGATATGCAACCTATATATATCTATATATATATATATATATTTTTTTTAATAAATGCTGTTCTTTAGAAAATTATATTTATTAAAGAATCCAGAAAAATAATTTACCACAAAAATATTAAGCAGCACAATTGAACAATGATAATAATAAATGTTTCTTGAGCAGTCGGAGCCTGAGGATCATCTGCTGTCCGTCCTCCCCAAACGACATGTTCAGCAGCAGCTTGAGCCAGAGGAACATAGGCTCCGCCGCCGGACTGCCGCTTCGACCACCTGCCTTAGGCATGGGGAGAGACAGGAAGTGCTGCAGGAAGTTACTCTAGGGAAAACAGCAAGAAAGAAGGTTTTGTTAACACTTCTCTATGAAACAAAAAAGCGGATATGCAACCAAATGAGTCATAAAAGGTTTTCTTGCTGGAGAGCAGAATTATTTAGCTATATTTACTTTATATTTATAGCCTGAAGTGTCTCACAAGGTTATATTTATTCCTCCCCTGAATTATTTTTTGCTTTAAACATAACCAGTGAGTTACCTTCAGCAGTACCCCTCTACAGTCCCTTGAGATGGCCAAGTTGGCCAGCAGTGAGAAAGCCAGACTGTGGATGCTGCTGTTGTCAGGGGCAACCTGGGAGGCCAGTTTCATCACCCCATGCATCAGTGAATTTGTGACCGCAGTCTTAGGAAGAACAGCCGGAGTAATGACTGCTGAAAATTCAGCTTTGCATCACAGGAATAAAGTATTATACAATATAGCAAAATAGAAAACAGCTATTTTAAATAGAAATATTTCACAATATTATAGCTTTTACTGTGTTTTTGATCAAATGAATGCAGTCTTGGTGAACATTAGTGACTATTTTATTTTTACGAAAACCTGGGAGGCCAGTTTCATCACCCCATGCATCAGTGAATTTGTGACCGCAGTCTTAGGAAGAACAGCCTGAACTGAGCCAGAGCTACCACTGCTGCTGCTACTACATAAAGCACTGCATGCTGGAAGAGAACAAAAGAGAGACCTTGAGAGAGAGAGAACTTGATTATGGAAAAAAACTAGAACGTATACAAAGAGTTGCAAGAAACTAAGCAACTGTATATCAGAAAGATAAAATCACAGTGTTAAGAAAACAAAACTGTTAATCAGTGTTTCTTATCTGTGAAGGGCACCTTCCCAAACCCTGAAATGGAGCCAAACACCTTGCATAACAAAACAATTGTAGCTTTAAACAAACATTTCACTCATTATTAATATACTAGTAATTATTAATAAATACTATATACACATACACTGAATATGTATACATACCACGGAAAAAGTCAGGGGTCTTACGAAAATCTTACAGATTTCAAACTTATGAATGGTTCTTTCTTTTTTCCCCGTGGTGCTGCAAAAGTGCTACAGGAAACATTGCCAGCGATATAAAACCACACAAGCCTTTTCTTTTTGCTAATCTATTCATCTTGTCTCAAAATATCACTGCACAGTTGTGTAACAATGAGCGTGGAAACTCAATGGAAACAGAATTGTTCCACTGTGTTTAACTCAATTAAAAAAAACATTTCCTCCTGGTCTAACAATGCTGCATTTAGGCAAGTGTCAAAACCACTAAATGTCTTACTTCTGGGTAAGCGGACAGACGCATTTTGAAGAACAGCAAGACTGCAGGTGAATCATTTAACATGATGCTGGATTATTGAGAGACCTCAGCAGGGTTTTGCTTGCCGAAGAAATCCAATATTAATCGGCCAGATGAAAGAATGAGGGTTGTGTGTTGCAAGTTAATGAATTATATAATAAAAGTGACACAGGACAGAATATGATGGTGAGGAAAATGTGCTGGAGGGCTGATTCCATAATTGAAGAACCAGATTCATGAACTTTCAACATCACCTGCTGTTAACACCGACCTTGAGGAACACCACACATGACAGTATGCTATTGTAGCCTAGTGCTGTTAAACCATAGTGACAGCCCAAATGTACACACAGGCGCAAAAACACAAATGCGCACCCACACACACACACAGACGTATATGTACAGACTGACATTCACCCATGCGCTGCTGGCTCTTCACAGGTGTGAAGCCACATCCTGTCTCAAAGCACAGCTTTCCATGAGCTCAGATATGATACAGAGCAATCATTGTGTTCAAGTAAACACACTCACCAGCAGACACTTTCATGTACAACACTCTCTCTCTCACACACACACAGAAACACGTGCAAATGCTTTCATGTTTAACCGTCTCCCTCAAACAAACGCACACACACAAAGCAGTTCGTCCAGAGAACATTCAGATTTTTTTAGACTTTTTCTGTAATATTTATAAGAAAGGGATGTCTTGGATTTCAAAAACCTATTAGATAATTAGATCAATTTCACTTCAAGTCACCATGAAATCAAAATGTATGATTTTATTTATTAAATACTGCAGTGTTTATTATTTATTTATTTTTGCACAGTATTTTTTTTTAAATTCATGTGCACTGGTGCGAGGGCAGGACAAAAATTCCTCCCCTCCAGCAACCTGTCACTCACTGGAGGTCGCGGCAAATGACAACAAACCAATAATTTCCCGATAGACAAAATCAAATCACACCCTACATTTTTTCTCATTCGAGAAGCAAGGAAGGAAAGATGATCACAGCTTGCGTTTCGACTTTGAGAAGCAATAAAAATGATTATTTTAAATGTTTTTGTTTGCTACTTTTGAATGTTTGGAAACGGCAAGATGTTTCCAGTATTACCACGATAGAAAGTGCATCGCCGTTTGCTCCGTAGTTGCAGAGCAGTCAGAGTAGCCATGATGACCCCTGTCCACCAGCAAAAGCACCAGCAATGGGCACATGGCCATCAGAAATGCTCTGATAAGTACAACCTACTTAAAGATTGTTGCAGACTTCATGGCAACAGTGATCCCTAATGACAATGGCCTCTTTCAGCAGGATAATGCACCTTAAAACACTGCAGAAATAGTTCAGGAATGGTTTGAGGAACATGACAAAGATTTTAAGGTGTTGCCTTGGCCTCCAGCTTGCCCACATCTCAATCCGATTGAGCATCTATGGGATGTGCTCGACAAACATATCAGATCCATGGAGACCTATAGGATCTGCTGCTTGGTGCCAGATACCACAGGACACATTCAGAGGTCTTGTAGAGTCCATGCCTTGGCGCACCAGAGCTGTTTTAAGGGGGACCTACACAATATTAGGCAGGTGGTTTTAAAGGGATAGTTCACCCAAAAATAAAAAAATTTGGTTATTAATTACTCACCCTTATGTCGTTCTAAACCCGTAAGACCTTTGTTTATCTTTGGAACCCAAATTAAAGTGCCCCTATTATGTGCCCCTGTTATGAAAGGTTCATTTTTGGTTTTGGGGGTGTTGTCCCCAACAACAGGTTGACATGCATGCAAGGTCAAAAAACTACTGCTGTCAATCTATTAAAAAAAATTAACTAATTAATCGCATTTTTTTCTGAAATTAATCGCGATTAATCCCACCTAACATTAAAGTTTTTAAATATACTTTTATATTGCAATAATTTCACATTCAATCTAATTAATGTCAAATTAATGTACAAACAACATAAAGACAGTATATTTTTAATATTTGTTTAATGGCATCTTTTTTATGATGGCCAGTATCACTGATACCAATTAATACTGATTTCCCTATAAAAAATCCCCCCTAATATTTAACCATTGACTATAGCCATTCAACATTACATTATAATTAAGAGCTATCAATTTTAACATTTATTAGACTTTAAAACTAACTTCTAATTTAAGTGAACTTAAAACAATCTTCACATAAACCCCTTTATAATAAATGTCATATTTAGCTAGGCTACCTGTGCCCCTCAGCAGAAATATACAGCAATTGAATAAAGTTATCAAACACTAAATTCTAAATTAAATATAGATGAATCCTTAAAACTATAAAAGTTATTTTTTCCTCTTTTTTTCTTTGTCCTTTGATTAATAGACATCACAGCAGCTGGCTATTAGGTTGTTTTGGCTGCTATTTCTTTAAGAGCTGCCGCTGCTGAACGTGA